TGGAGAACTAAAATGTCCCAAACTGAGGGGCTGGAGAACTAAAATAGCCCAAACTGAGGGGCTGGAGAACTAAAATGTCCCAGAGTGAGGGGCTGGAGAACTAAAATGTCCCAGAGTGAGGGGTTGGAGAACTAAAATGTCCCAAACTGAGGAATTGCAGCACCAAAATATCCCAAAATGAGGATTTGCACCTCCAAAATACCCCGAACTGAGGGGTTGGAGCTCTCAAATACCCCAAAATGAGGATTTGCACTTCCAAAATACCCCAAAATGTGGAGTTGGAGCTCTAAAATACCCCAAAATGAGGATTTGCACTTCCAAAATACCCCAAAATGTGGAGTTGGAGCTCTAAAATACCCCAAANAGCTCTAAAATACCCCAAACTGAGGATTTGCACTTCCAAAATACCCCAAAATGTGGAGTTGGAGCTCTAAAATACCCCAAACTGAGGATTTGCACCTCCAAAATACCCCAAACTGAGGGGTGGGGCTGCAATGAATTTTCCATTTTTTATTTCTTCTCTTCCCTCATTGATGGAGCTCAAGGAGGGGCCCCAAATCCCCTCCTCACCCTCGTGAGGTTCAGAAAGAGAAATATTAAAATATTAAAGTTTATTCTACAGGGACATCAAGAGTGCCAGGGGGTCCCTGGCATAATTCTGGTATTTTGGGTGAATTTTGTGTTTTAATTTTGGTATTTTGGGTGAATTCTGATTTTTGGGTGAATTTTGTGTTTTAATTCTGGTATTTTGGGTGAATTCTGTGTTTTAATTCTGGTATTTTGGTTGAATCCTGTGTTTTAATTCTGATATTTTGAGTGAATTGTTTTAATTCTGATCTTTTGGGTGAATTCTTTTTTATTTCTGATCTTTTGGGTGAATTCTGGTATTTTGGGTGAATTCTGTGTTTTCTTTGCCAGGCTACATTCAAGGGCTGGATGGACATCATGTATGCAGCTGTCGATTCCAGAAAGGTAACCTGCAAAAATCCCCAAATCCCAAAATCCCAAAATCCCCAAATTCCTGATTTCTATCTTCTGCTTGGCTAAAATCCAGAGGGAAAATTGCAGATTTTTTTTTATAGCAAATATTGAATTTTGGGATGGTTTCCTTTGCTCTGGGGGCTCTGATGAGTTCAAAAATGCTGAAGAAAATCCCAAAAAGGGCGGGTTCAAAAAGTTGTTTTTTGGTTTTTTTTTTTTGGTCTATCCCAATTAGAGTTGAAATGGAACAAAAAAAAAATGAAGTAGAAAAAAATGGGAATAGAAATTTAAAATGTAGGAAAAAACAAATAGGAAAAAAAGAAACAAAATAGGAGTAGAAGGCAGTGAATTATACATTTAATCATTCAAATAAAAGGAATTAGGCAGGAATTTTATGTTTATAGGGAAGTCTGGGCATCACAGCTGGAATTGTGGATTTGGGATTCAGGAATTTGGGATTCAGGAATTTTGGGTTCAGGAATTTTGGATTATGGATTCAGGAATTTTGGATTCAAGAATTATGGATTCAGGAATTTGGGATTCAGGAATTTGGGATTCAGGAATTTTGGATTATGGGCTCAGGAATTTTGGATTCGGGAATTTGGGATTCAGGAATTATGTCTGGGTTGGAATTCATTCCTCAGACACTTTTCTCCTTCTTGCATGCTGGAAAAATGCCACCATTTCCTTTTCGTTTTCAATTTTTTCCCCCCTTTTTCCATTCTCATGGGTTTTATACATAACCAAAAAAATTTTAATTTCATTTCATTTAATCCATTTTTTAATGGATTTATTTTTTATCCCGCACTGAATGCAGCTTTGAAACAAGTCTGCCCGTGCCAGGAAAGTGTAAAAATAAAAATATTCAGCAGCTTTTTAACCTTTGATCGTTTGCAAACCCAACCGATCGCGTTTTTAGGATGTCTCAAAAATGTAAATTTGTTTTTTTTTTGGTTCTTTTTCTGTCCCTTTCAGCAAGAAGAGCAGCCCAAGTACGAGGACAACATTTACATGTACATTTATTTTGTGATCTTCATCATCTTCGGGTCCTTTTTCACCCTGAACCTCTTCATCGGCGTCATCATCGACAACTTCAACCAACAGAAGAAGAAGATAAGTGACCCAAAGGGAACTTTTGCCCTGCGTTTTGGGGCATTTTGGGGGGTTTTAATGAATTAAAGACAGAATTCATCTCCCATCAATTTCCTTTATAGGAGGTTCGAATTTCCCATAAATTTCATTTATAGGAAATTTTCATCTCCCATCAATTTCCTTTATAGGAGGTTCGAATTTCCCATAAATTTCATTTATAGGAAATTTTCATCTCCCATCAATTTCGTTTATAGGAAGTTTGAATTTCCCATAAATTTCAATTGATAGGGAATATTAATCACTAAATTTCAATTGATAGGGAATATTAATCTCTAAATGTCAATTGATAGGGAATATTAATCTCTTCTAAATTTCAATTGATAGGGAATATTAATCTCCTCTCAATTTCAATTTATAGGCAATATTAATCTCCTCTAAATTTCAATTTCTAGGGAATATTAATCTCTTCTCAATTTCAATTGATAGGGAATATTAATCTCTAAATTTCCATTGACAGGGAATATTAATCTCCTCTCAATTTCAATTGATAGGGAATATTAATCTTCTCTAAATTTCAATTTCTAGGGAATATTAATCTCTTCTCAATTTCAATTGATAGGCAATATTAATCTCTAAATTTCAATAGATAGGGAATATTAATCTCCTCTAAATTTCGATTTTGAGGCAACCCAGGCCTTTTTAATGCTGATTGTAACCAGGTTTTTTTCCCTTTTCCCCCTTTACTTTGGAGGTCAGGATATTTTCATGACAGAAGAGCAGAAGAAGTATTACAACGCCATGAAGAAACTGGGCTCCAAGAAGCCCCAAAAACCCATCCCCCGACCTCTGGTGAGTAGATGAGGGACAAAGCTCTGGAGAGGATTTCAAAAGAGCTTTTTCTCCAAAAAAAAAATAAATTTTCCGTCTCGTGTTGGGCTTCAACATCCCCCTGGTCTTGTCACCGTGACTCGGTGTCACCTGCCAAGGTGAAAATTTGTCCTGGGGTTGGTTTTTGTCATCACGTGAATCAAAAAATCCCCAAATTTCGCAGGTGGGGAGGAGGAACCTCCAGGAACTCGCCGGAGAACCTTTGGTGACCATCCAGCCCTGAGGGCTTCGATGGTGGAGAACTGAGCTCATCTCCCGGGTTCCTCAAAGATTTCGGATCCCTCAAAAAGCCCCCCCAAAAAAGGGGTTGGGTGGAGTCCTTTGGGTGCTGTTTGGACCAATCGTCCTCTGCTGGGGCTGGGGTGGTGCCAAACCATTCCACGTCCAGACCATTCCATGTCCAAACCAACAACCACCTCCATGGTGGTAGTTCTGGACGTGGAATGGGATCACCTGAAGGACATTTCCAGTCCAGACCATTCCATGTCCAAACCAACAACCACCTCCATGGTGGTAGTTCTGGACGTGGAATGGGATCACCTGAAGGACATTTCCAGTCCAAACCATTCCACACCTCCATGGTGGTTGTTCTGGAGGTGGAATGGGACATTTCCAGTCCAGACCATTCCCTGTCCAAACCAACAAACACCTCCATGGTGGTTGTTCAAACTCGGTTCCTCGTTTCTCCTGCTCCTGGAGCATCCAAAGCCAGGTTGGACAGGGCAGGAGGTGGAATGGGATCACCTAAAGGACATTTCCAGTCCACACCATTCCACACCTCCATGGTTGTTGTTCTGGAGGTGGAATGGGATCACCTGAAGGACATTTCCAGTCCAACCATTCCACACCTCCATGGTGGTTGTTCAGGGGGTTGAATGGGATCACCTGAAGGACATTTCCAAACCATTCCACACTTCATGGTGGTTGTTCAAACTCAGTTCCTCGTTTCTCCTGCTCCTGGAGCATCCAAAGCCAGGTTGGACAGGGCAGGAGGTGGAATGGGATCACCTGAAGGACATTTCCAGTCCAAACCACTCCACACCTCCATGGTTGTTGTTCTGGAGGTGGAACGGGATCATCTGAAGGACATTTCCAGTCCAAACCATTCCACACCTCCATGGTTGTTGTTCAGGATGTGGAATGGGATCACCTGAAGGACATTTCCAGTCCAAACCATTCCACACCTCCATGGTTGTTGTTCTGGAGGTGGAATGGGATCATCTGAAGGACATTTCCAATCCAAACCACCCCACACTCCATGGTGGTTGCTCAAACTCAGTTCCTCGTTTCTCCTGCTCCTGGAGTAGCTAAAGCCAGGTTGGACAGGGCAGGAGGTGGAATGGGATTGTCTGAAGGACATTTCCAAACCATTCCACACTTCGTGGTGGTTGCTCAAACTCGGTTCCTTGTCTCCCCTGCTCCGCAGAACCGCATCCAAGGAGCCGTCTTCGACTTCGTCACCCAGCAAGCCTTCGACATCGTCATCATGATGCTCATCTGCCTCAACATGGTGACCATGATGGTGGAGACGGACACGCAGAGCAAGCAGATGGAGGACATCCTTTACTGGATCAACTTCGTGTTCGTCATCTTCTTCACCTGCGAGTGCGTGCTGAAGATGTTCGCCTTGAGGCACTACTACTTCACCATCGGCTGGAACATCTTCGACTTCGTGGTGGTCATCCTGTCCATCGTGGGTGAGTCCTGGAGGACACACATTCCACTTTCAGAAGGTTTCGTGTGGGAACTCAAAATGTGCCTCAGGCATTTTTGGATGTTGTGGGTCTGAGTCGTTTGAGGCTCTGCAGGCAGCTGAGAACAGCGGCGATTTTAAATTTAAACCATAGAATGATTTATCTTTGCAAAAAAAAAACCCAAAGAAGTCACAAAAGTTTAAATGTTATAAAAAAAAAAAACAAAGAATTCACAAAAGTTTAAATGTTATAGGAAAAAAAACCCAAACAAGAAGTCACAAAGTTTAAGTGTTATAGGAAAAAAACCAAACAAGAAGTCACAAAAGTTTAAATGCTATAGGAAAAAAAAACAGAGAATTCACAAAAGTTTAAATGTTATAGGAAAAAAAAACCCAAAGAAGCCCCAAAGTTTAAGTGTTATAGGAAAAACAACCAAACAAGAAGTCACAAAAGTTTAAATGCTATAGGATAAAAAAACCCAAAGAAGTCACAAAGTTTAAGTGTTATAGGAAAAAAACCAAACAAAAAGTCACAAAAGTTTAAATGTTATAAGAAAAACAACCAAACAAGAAGTCACAAAAGTTTAAATGCTATAGGAAAAAAAACAGAGAAGTCACAAAAGTTTAAATGTTATAGGAAATAAAACGTAACAAGAAATCACAAAAGTTTAAATGTTATAGGAAAAAAAACAAAAGAATTCACAAAAGTTTAAATGTTATAGGAAAAAAAACCCAAACAAGAAGTCACAAAGTTTAAGTGTTATAGGAAAAACAACCAAACAAGAAGTCACAAAAGTTTAAATGCTATAGGAAAAAAAACCAGAGAAGTCACAAAAGTTTAAGTGTTATAGGAAAAAAACCAAACAAAAAATCACAAAAGTTTAAATGTTATAAGAAAAACAACCAAACAAGAAGTCACAAAAGTTTAAATGTTAAAAATAGTCACAAAGTAGAAGGAATTTTTAAGTGCTGCACGGGGGGTTTAAGTGCTGCACGGGGGGTTTATGGGATGCACTTCTCGTGCTTTTTAGTCTCTTTTTGGGCTTTAATTGCAATTATGCACGGCACCATTGGTTGACGTGACCAACGCTGTCCCCGCAGGGATGTTCCTGGCCGAGATCATCGAGAAGTACTTCGTGTCGCCCACGCTGTTCCGCGTGATCCGCCTGGCGCGCATCGGCCGCATCCTGCGCCTCATCAAGGGCGCCAAGGGCATCCGCACGCTGCTCTTCGCCCTCATGATGTCCCTGCCCGCCCTCTTCAACATCGGCCTCCTGCTCTTCCTCGTCATGTTCATCTTCTCCATCTTCGGCATGTCCAACTTCGCCTACGTCAAGCACGAGGCCGGCATCGACGACATGTTCAACTTCGAGACCTTCGGCAACAGCATGATCTGCCTGTTCCAGATCACCACGTCGGCCGGGTGGGACGGGCTCCTGCTGCCCATCCTCAACCGCCCGCCCGACTGCGACCTGGACAAGGAGCACCCCGGCAGCGGCTTCAAGGGCGACTGCGGCAACCCCTCGGTGGGGATCTTCTTCTTCGTCAGCTACATCATCATCTCCTTCCTCATCGTGGTCAACATGTACATCGCCATCATCCTGGAGAACTTCAGCGTGGCCACGGAGGAGAGCGCGGACCCGCTCAGCGAGGACGACTTCGAGACGTTCTACGAGATCTGGGAGAAGTTCGACCCCGACGCCACGCAGTTCATCGAGTACAGCAAGCTGGCGGACTTCGCCGACGCCTTGGAGCACCCCTTGCGCGTGCCCAAGCCCAACACCATCGAACTCATCGCCATGGACCTGCCCATGGTCAGCGGCGACAGGATCCACTGCTTGGACATCCTCTTCGCCTTCACCAAGCGCGTCCTGGGGGACAGCGGCGAGCTGGACATCCTGAGGCAGCAGATGGAGGAGAGGTTTGTGGCTTCCAACCCTTCCAAAGTGTCCTACGAGCCCATCACCACCACGCTGCGGCGCAAGCAGGAGGAGGTGTCGGCGGTGGTGATCCAGAGGGCGTACCGGGCTCGTCTGGCGCGGCGCGGCTTCGGCGGCCGGAGGGCGGCCACCAAGCTGGACAACGGGGCGGCCACCAGGGAGAAGAAGGAGGGGACGCCGTCCACGGCCTCGCTGCCCTCCTACGACAGCGTCACCAAGCCCGAGAAGGAGAAGCAGCAGCGGGCGGAGGAGGGCAGGAGGGAAAAGGCAAAGAGGCAAAAGGACGCCAGGGTGGCCAAGTGTTGAGACACACACACAAAACACACACACACACGGAGAAAAAAAAAAAAAAAAAAAAAAAAAAAAAAAAAAAAAAAAAAAAAAAAAAAAAAAAAAAAAAATTTAAAAGCGGAAAAAAAAAAAAAAAGAAATAAAAAAGAGAAAAAATATTTAAAAATTTTTTTGTTTACAGACTTCCTGAAACGTATCAATACAGAAGAGCTGTGGAGACACTTACCTGAAGATCTTGTACCAAACTTGGTCTGCTTCTGTTGCATCCGAAGCAGTGACCTTCCACCCGTGCGAAGGACCCTGGCAACGGAGGAAACGCCAGGAAAAAAAAGGGAAAAAAAGGATTTTTCTATCGTTTGGGCAGGTGGATACTGCATGTTCCACATCAGTCAATGCAACTTAGGACAAACGAGCAAAATAATCCACACACACACACACACACCAAAAAAACAAACAACACACACACACAAAAAAAACCAAAACCCGCTGCTGGGATTCACTCCTTTCCCAAAGCAGCCCCAAGTGGATTTTATTGATTTTATTTTCTCATTTTCTTGGTTATTCTCAGAAGGAAAATCCAGACGTCGCCATGTCGGCGGGTTCGTTCGTGCAAAATGAGATTTGCATTTAGTTAAGCAAAAAAAAAAAAAAAAAAAAAAAGGGAAAAAATGGGGAAAAAAAAGAGTTAAAACAAGCAGAACAACAAAGAAAAAAAAGGATAAAAAAAAGAAACGAAGCACTCATTAAACCCACCGAGCTGCCGTAATTTATTTATTTGAAATTAATTATTTGAGATTTCTTATTTACATTTTATCTCCTACATGGGCTTTTCTTTGTTTGGGAGATGGGGGAGTCGGGTGCCTTCAGCCTGGAGCCAGCCCCCCCAAAAAAACCAAAAAGTGCTCATTAACTAGAAGCGTTTTTGGCAGATTTTGGCCGATTTTGGCAGATTTTTGCATGATGGCATGAGCAGGGACCGTGCATGAGGAACCACAAGCAGGGGACACGCACTCACCAGGCCACTGAGAGGTTTGAAGCCATAAATTCCAGAAATTCCACGGAAAAAAAACCTTTAGTGACGCTCAAAACCCAACAAAACCTCAAAAAAAAATCCACAAAAACTCCACCAGAACAAGAGGTGGAGGAATTGTGTGTGTCTGTTCAACCACTTGGATTTTCTTTTCCATTCTGCCACGGTTTGTATTTTTTTTTTTTTGGGTTTTTTTTTTTTGCACATTGAGACAGAACAAAATTCCAAAATGCTGCTCTGGATCTCGCCAAAGGGGAGAGGAAAAATTTGGGGAAATGGCTTTTTATCCGTGTCACTGTAAATCCAAAACCTAAATTCCGAATTAAAAAAAAATGCAAAATCGAAATTCCAAAAATGCAAAACCTAAATTCCAAAATGCTGCTCTGGACCTCCCCAAAGGGGAGAGGATAAATTTGGGGAAATGGCTTTTTATCCATGTCACTGTAAATACAAAACTTAAATACCAAGAATCCAAACCCTAAATTCCAAAAATCCAAACCCTAAATTCCAAAAATCCAAACCCTAAATTCCAACATGGCCCTGGGGTGTGGCCAGGAGGAATTTTGGGGTGCAGAACTGGACCTTGGGGCCCTGGGGGGGTTTTGGGCCCCATATAAATATAAAAAATAAAAAACAAATACAAAATAAAAATAAAAAATTCAGCAGAGCTCGATGGGAGGATGAAATCTCATTGTTCATAATTCCATGAACCCAAAAAACGCCAAAAATCACCCAAAATCAACCAAACCCTTCAGGTGGTGGCACCAAGGCAGGGGTCACTGCAGGGGTGACACCCAAACCAGGGGGGAAAAAATAAAAAATAAAAATACAAAATAAAAAAATAAAAAACCCAAATATACCAGAGCTCGATGGGAGGATGAAATCTCATTTTTCATAATTCCACAAACCCCAAAAAACGCCAAAAATGACCCAAAATCAACCAAACCCAAGCAGGAAGCCATCCAGCAGCCATCTGTGCCACCTTGGCACCTCCCAGGATGGGATGTACAAAAAATAAAAATTAACAACAAATAAAACAACAACAACAAAAATACATATTGTACAGGCTATGTTGTAAACAGCACAAAAAAAATAATAAAAAAAAAACCAAAAAAATAAAAAAAAAGGAAAAAAAATAGCTGAAGAGTGTGGTTGAACTTTTTAAGAGAATATTATAAATACTGTAATATATCATTTTATTTTATTGGCATGCCTTTTTGTAAATACAAAAAGAACTACAAAAAAAAATTATAGAATGGCTTCTGGCTTATGCCATTGTCCATGGTTATTTTTATTTTTTTAAGACTTTTCTGTTCTCCTTAGATTTTAGATAGCCAGGAAATGCCCCCCCCCCCCCCCCACCAAAAGGGAAATAATTAAAAAAAAAAAACCCACGAAATAATTCCAAATGAAAACCTAAACCCTTCAAAAAATAGATTTTAACAAAAGCTTTATTGCAAGTGGTATTTGCAGCAGCAAAAAAAACAAAAAACCGACAAAAAAAAAGTTCTTTTTTGGGTTCCGATGTGCAATAAGTCGACCACTTCTATGCAAGATTTGGCTGAAATTTCATAATTGTCCTTAGGCTCGGTGCGTTGGCGTTTGTGCTGGCAACTCATGAAGCTGCTCAACGACTTTCCAATAAAAAATCCCTTCCAACTCCGAATATTTTTATTTCTTTTTCATGTTTGGTCCTTTTCGGGAAAGGGAGGGAGGAGGTTTTGCAATTTTCTGCTCGGAAAAAAATGAAATTTGGGCCGTTCGGGGGAGGATTTTTCTTGGGTGGTTTTGCGTTGGGTGAGGCAAAAGTTGGTGGAGGTTTTGGGGTAAAAAGCCTCAGGGATTCGTTCAGAATTTTATTTTTTTTTTTTCATGGAATTTTTTTTGGGTGGAATTGTTCTGGATTTGGGGGTTTGGGAGTCGTTGGGGAGGTGGAGCCAAAATTCACGGCCACACCAAGGAGTTCCTGCACTCCCCCACCTGTAAAATTTGGGGTGAAGGTGTCAGATTTTGGGGTTAAAGGTGTTGGATTTTGGGGTTAAAGGTGTCAGATTTTGGGGTTAAAAGTGTCGGATTTTGGTGTTGAAGGTGTCAGATTTTGGTGTTGAAGGTGTGAGATTTTGGGGTTAAAGGTGTCAGATTTTGGCATCGAAGGTGACAGATTTTGGTGTTGAAGGTGTCAAAATTTGGTGTTGAAGGTGTGAGATTTTGGTGTTAAAGGTGTGAGATTTTGGTGTTAAAGGTGTCAGGTTTTTG